GTAATACCAGGGCTAACAGGATACAGTAACACCAGAGCTAACAGGCTACAGTAACACCAGGGCTAACAGGATACAGTAACACCAGGGCTAACAGGATACAGTAATACCAGGGCTAACAGGATACAGTAATACCAGAGCTAACAGGATACAGTAATATCAGGGCTAACAGGATACAGTAATACCAGAGCTAACAGGCTACAGTAACACCAGGGCTAACAGGATACAGTAACACCAGGGCTAACAGGATACAGTAACACCAGGGCTAACAGGATACAGTAACACCAGGGCTAACAGGATACAGTAACACCAGGGCTAACAGGATACAGTAATACCAGGGCTAACAGGATACAGTAACACCAGAGCTAACAGGATACAGTAATACCAGGGCTAACAGGATACAGTAATACCAGGGCTAACAGGCTTGGTTATGAGGAGGTAAAACAAGTCAAACACTGAGGACTGTTGTGTTGTCACAAATGAATGAACAAAGCAGCAGAACATATATTAGTATCATTTGAAAACACACAGTTGTGTGTTTGTGTTGCATGTTGTGTTGTCACAAACGAATGAACAAAGCAGCAGAACATATATTAGTATCATTTGAAAACACACAGTTGTGTGTTTGTGTTGCATGTTGTGTTGTCACAAACGAATGAACAAAGCAGCAGAACATATATTAGTATCATTTGAAAACACACAGTTGTGTGTTTGTGTTGCACAGACCTGGGTGCTGGCTGCTGGAACAGGAGCCTCCCTGACACACAAACCACCTGCTCTGGTTTGTTACTGACACTGGACTGCCACTAGATGGAGACAGAGACACACACAGGAGAGCACAATCAGTGCTACACACACAGTATCTGTGTCACAATCTAAAGTCTATCCTTCACCTGTCACAAAGGAACAACTTCCACATTATTATTTCATCAATCCAAAGATATCAGCCATGTTGAACTGATCAGAGCCTGCTGCTCTCTGATGCTGAGGAGAAACACACACAGCTGCACTGTGACAAATACAACAAACACACACAGCTGCACTGTGACAAATACAACAAACACACAACTACACTGTGACAAATACAACACACACAACTACACTGTGACAAATACAACACACACAACTACACTGTGACAAATACAACACACACAACTACACTGTGACAAATACAACAAACACACAACTGCACTGTGACAAATACAACAAACACACAACTACACTGTGACAAATACAACACACACAACCACACTGTGACAAATACAACAAACACGCACAGCTGCTCTGTGACAAATACAACAAACACACA